ATTGCCTAGATGAGGGGTCTAGATGAGCATAAAAGTTTTATACTTTTAACAGTATAAAAGTTAACCCTGGCAGCTATGAGTATTGGAAAGAGCCAAATGACCAAAGCACCCAGAAGAATTGAGCTGAAGACACTCCTCGCCCCCAGATGCCCATCTTGAGACTCTGAGCAGCTCTTGGTGGAATTCTTGGTAGCATTCAGTCCCCAGCCTGAGAAGTTAGCACAGGAAATCCTGGTCTTTCCTGACCAGTTTTATGCCTACTTAGAAAAGGAGACCCACGTGTCCTTTTTGCATTAGTTGATAGGAAATAAATCTATAATTCAATGCCAGAGACACCATAGCATGTCGTGTGGAGGTAAAGCCCAGCATTTCTGGAGCAAGATTGCTTGGGTTTGAATATCAGATGCTCCACTGACTATCGTGTGCCAATTACTATTTATGTCATCTCCTATTACTAAAAGGTTACTTAACCTCTCCTCATTTCAATTTCTTCCCTTGTTTTTGAAAAGGTATAATAGTAGTAACAACATGGTAGAGTTGTAATCAGGAAAAAACAAGTTAGTGCATGTAAAGTGCCTAGAACTGGGACACCACAGGGAGGATGCCTTAGCTTCTGTTGCTATTGAATCCCTCCCTACACAGTACCAGATGCTGTCCAAGGTGCTGGAGGTTTTGAGGCTAGCCAAGAACAGAGGACTTTCTGTAGCAGCTTAACAGTACGCTGACAGAAAACAGGCATTAAATAGATAATCGAATGGGTAGGAGGCATGAATTTGCAATTTCAAGTTCAGGTGTTTTCTTTACCTCAACTTTAGTCAATTCTGAAGATCTCTGCAGCTAGGCAGATAGGAAGTCCACCATGCGGCCAGCGCAATGGTTTCATTAATGAGGTTCTTGGCATAAAAGTTAGCTAGTGAGATCAAAATAAAACACACAGACTCAGTTACCTTTTTCTATGACCAGGATCGAGACAGCTCCCCTCTCTGGCTTCCACCTTGAAC